CATGTAAACGCTTTCGCAGCGTTTCTTCGTTGTCGTCCTTCCTCTGAATCAGATCCTCCCCTGTGACCTGTAACAAACAAACAGCAACAGCAGCAGCTAACCGCAGCACTTATTATATACAGCAACACCTAGGTCGTTCATACCAACAACAGCTAACAACAGAAATGTATAGGTAAGTAAATGCACATATAGGCGCTCTAATATTTTGTACATCTATATACATGTTTCCTCCGCATAATGCAAAAAAGAATAAAGAAATAAGAAGTTGCCCCTTCGAGCTGCAAGCGTTTCAAGCCGCTTCCTTCAGTCTTCAGCTGCTCACGATACCAGGCCCCCAACACACCCACTAACAGAATGCGCAAAAACACTCACGTCGTCTTTGTTTGGAACTTTCGGGGGTCTGAAGATAGAGTGATAGACGCGGCCACTCGCGGGGTGAATGCGGCGACCACAGACTCTCTGCACCAGCGTTTCCTCTGGGGTATCAAAGAAGACAACTCCGTCGATCTTCTGTTTCTGAGACTCCAGAAGTTTGTCTAACTGAAGAGGGAACACAAACAGGCGAACAAAGAACGAAAGAATTACAGAAATAACACACAGAAATCGCGAGAGCTGCTGCGAACGCCGCTCTTGAGATGCTCGTACACCTGAAAAAGTTGCGGTGCTCATTCGCCTGCAGCTTCCTTCTCAACATGGTGGAAACAATGGCAACGATCCAGCATAGAAATTCGTGCACACTATATAGCATTTATATTATTAAAGAGTACGAAACTGGGTTTAATGGCTAAAATCCTAATTCTATAGAAAGAAATCCGCACAGCAGCAGCTTCCCCTCCCCAGCTTACTGCATTCGCTTGCTCTTGATTTCGTGGATATCCGTCTAAGATAAACCCTCGAGAACACTCGGGGCTTCTCATCCTCTCCGAGAGCAACTCGAGGACTAAGTCATCCGGTACGAGCTGCCCAGCGGCCATTATGCCCTTTGCCTGAATATTTGTATACATTACAAATATTTCATTTATATTGGTACGGCAAGAAAAACAAAAAGTGGGGCGATGAGATGTTCACTCCTCAAGTGAAAGAATACTCAGAAGTTTGCATAAAAAAAAGCAAACTGATGGAGCTGAACAACATTAAAAAACGGATACGGGCATGAGACAAAACGAGCATCAAATTGCAAGCATGAATGCAAATACGGAACAGTAAGAATACGAAAGCTGAATATCAATCAATATGAATCCACGCGCTCACCTTCTGGCCGAGTTCTGTGCCTGCTGCAACGGCATCCCGCAACATATCACCAGTGGAGATGTGGCAGTAGCAGTGCGACTTCTGTAGATTAGCGCTCTGCGTGCCTTTGCCTGAACCGGGGGCCCCCAGGAAGATATATCTGAAAACACAGACCCACCCCAATGAGCAAGCAAGCACGGTTCCTCACCGCATCCTTACCGCGCTGCATGCACTCCAAAAGTTGCAGCAACACTTTATGCCGCTGATACTGCTGCTGCTGCTATTACTGCTGCATAGACAAAGACGCGTGCACCGCGCAGCACAGGCAAATGCTCCTGGTAGGCGCTTCTGGAGACGCTGCTGCTTGCTTTCCTGGTGCTGCTGCGTAAGATCATTCATACGTGCCGCGCCTACCGGCCTTCAGGCTTGGAAAGGCAGCTGTATCTGCGCTTCAACTCCTCCAGCAGATCGGTCGTGGAGACCTTATCTAACGAGACACCACCAGGGCTCGTCATCGTGCCGTCGCTGCAGACACAGCCGCAGCAGCAGCAGCAGCAAAACTACCTCAAACACTTCAGCATTGCTCTTCAGCGAAGGTACAATCAGTATGAGGAGAAAGAAGAAATATCTACTCTGCGGCTGGCGGCGGTTCAATTCGAACAAAAGTTGTATTGCTGCGGAGTGTGAGGTGTACAAGATGGACTTGTTCTTTATATACTGCAATTAAACACCCCGAATAGTAATCAATTACACACACCAAATAATAAAAATTAAATGCAGCAAGCAGTAACTATTAAACAAGAAAAACATAAACAGCAGCTTATAGATAACGGCTACCATAGAGTCTCGTTTTGTTCGCTGTCTCTCTCTCTGTCTCTGTGGGGAGGAAAGGGGAGCGTTTGCTTACGAAGAGATTCTCGTTAGGCCTCTTTAAGGAGAAGAAAGAATTAAGCAAATGCAAAATATTTGCATATTACTACAAACAAATGCTGCAACACCATCCAGAGAAACAACAGAGCCCCAAACAACTCCTGCCGGGCCCCGTGGCTCCAGGGGCTGCTGCTAGCGCTGCCTGCGGCGGATGAACACAAATTGTATATTTTATATGATATATAAACACAAACTGTCCGTTTTTAAATGGATATTCAGTTCAATACTTCGTATATATTTGTAATACAAATAAATATCAACAAGACACCAAGAAAGTTGACGCACACCGAAGTCAATCGACAACGCATACGGCACCAGCAACAGCAACAGCCATCACTGCGTTTGTCGCTACCTCCGTTTATTGTTTAATTTGTTACTATGCATATATTATTTAGTTATGTATATTATTTAGTTAGCTCGTATCAGCAAGTTACTTAACTTTTCGCTACTAAACAGCTAGTCAAACACCATCGGCGCCAACGGCCTAAATACTACTATATGTATTGAGATGGCGGCCTCCTCCCTCAAGCTAGTAAACTTAACGGGAACATATAGATGTATATATATATATATATATATATCTATGTATGTATTATATGTACTTCTTGTTGACTAGTGTTTGTTTGTCTATATTTGCCGCTTCATCTCTGCCGTATGTACTGCTCAGGGTTTAAGGCATACATACATATACAGACATCCTATATATATGAGTATATATATAAACGCGTTCACCCTAAAACGACATCATCAGTAAAAAACAAAAAGAAATATTTGTTTGTACGGCTGTCCCCCCGCTGGCTCTGCGTTGGTGCCGCAGTAGCAGTGGGACTGAGGCGTATTTGCAACGCCTCTAGGGTTTAGGATTTAGGGTTTAAACACTAAACCCTAAACCCTCATCGCTGTTTCTGTTCTGTCGCTTTGAAGCCTTGACCCTCCATTTCGCCCCCCTCCACTCACTTATCTATCCACATGCAGGCGCTGGCAGGTGCCTAAAGCCGCCTAGACTACCACAGCAGCAGCGGTAGTGCTAGCTGCAACAGCAACAGCAGCAGCAGCTGCAGCAGCTGCTGCTGGTGGTGGTAGTCTGAGACCGCCACAGCAAAAACAGCTGCACATCCCTAGGCCGTGTTGCTGCTAGAGCAGCAGCGAGTGGTCTGCTGCTGCTCTTAATGCCGCTGCTTCTTGCAGCAGCCAGATGCTGCCGCCGCTGCTGCTGCTTCATGCAGCAGCCAGGTGCTTCCGCTGCTGCTGCTGACGATGGTTCTTGTAGCAGCCAGATGCGGCCGCTGCTGCTGCTGATGATGGTTCTTGCAGCAGCCAGAGGCGGCTACTGCAGATGCTGCTGCGGCTGCTGCTGTTGCTGCTTCTTGTAGCAGCCAGATGCTGCCGCTGCTGCTGTTGCTTCTTGCAGCAGCCAGCTGATGCCACTGCTGCCGCTGCAGCCGCTGCTGTTGCTGCTTCTTGCAGCAACCAGCTGTTGCCGCTACTGCTGCAGCCGCTGCCGCTGCTGCTGCCGCTGCTGCTGCTGCTGCCGCCGCTGCTGCTGCAGCCGCTGCTGCTGTTGCCGCTGCTGCTGCTGCTGCCGCCGCTGCTGCTGCCGCTGATGCTGCTGTTGCCGCTGCTGCTGCTGCAGCTGCGGCTGCCGCTGCTGCTGCGGCTGCCGCTGCTGCTGCGGCT